TGTCTTGCTATGAATATGGATGACACTTTCATTTCAGTATTGTTCTTCGTGATAAATTTTCTAAGGAAACGAAGGAAGATTCGCAATAACAGAATTATCCAGGCTTGCGTTTATCCGTCGACTGTTTCGTGGGGTATAGCAAGCTTTCAGAGCTGTCCATGCAACATCACAGTTAATTTTACTTTTCCGTACCCACTACAACAGGGATGCTGAGACTGGATTTATGAACTGCAGAAAATCGTAGGCACCGGTAAAAAAGTGACAGAGTCCTGGTCGGCTGAATATGCTTATTTTGTAAATGTTAATTCTAATGATAGATATAGGAACAGTGAAACCCAAACACACAATCCATCTGTGACAGACGGGGTTAGAACAGTGGTTCGAGGTTCGCTTCCAACTTCGGAGGGGCCCGGTTCGAATCCCGAGAAGGACTAAATTGCTTTAACTGTTCGTTCTCTTGAGTAAAAAAGTCACCTCATGTTGCTTCGGTACAACCGGACGACAAACGGGTGGCAATTCACTGACTTGCGAACATCGGGACGGCATGGTGTTCTCGTGAGGTTATATCAGAATGGACGGGAGGTACGGCCGTGCTGTTTAATGTAAACTCCTTTTAGGACTGCAGTTCACCTCTAAACATAACATTTTAAACACCTGATATCTGATTATACAGTGTGATAATCAGTGGTAGACGCAAAGTATTTTTTCTGTTGTAACTGTCAGCTGTCTCCTATTACGCTAGCTTTACCGTTCGAACGAATAGAAAAGAGGTTCTACTTTCCGAGTTGCTTTGAGCTACGAAGCACCACTCGCAGCCCATCGCCAATCCGCTGCTGGCCGACGTGTGACTGGAGTTGAAGTTGGCGACGACGCACTGGAGGAAATCAGCCTCGTCTCTCGCCGCGTTCACACAAGTGAGCGACAGCAGTCCTGCGAGTGCAGCCACGGCGAAACTGACCACCATCTCTTCGACTTACTTTCAAAACTGACGTTCAAAGACAGCGTTTGTGCCTACAAATGCTAGGCGATTATTAACGACGGCGAGTGCCGCTTTTGCGCGCGCCAAGTCGTGCAATGCTTGCAGCTACCAGACCAGATCCAGATTCTCACCACTACGCAGACCGCAGCCGCAAGTCGAAATGGTCGTAAACGCGGTTGCCTGTTTGGTTCTGAGGTCGATTTCTTGGCGGCCAGAGGTGGCCGATTTATTGCTCTTGCGGAAATGAGGGCCGAGTAGCACATCGAGCCGCCCCACTTGAAAATCGTAACAACTTACAACCAATCAATCAACTGCTAAACCAAGGAGTTTGCGACTCCGACAGTCAACACCACAAAACATAGGTTTCGAGTTGCATGTTGGAACGTCGGCTCCTTGTCCGGCAACGGTAAGTTACATGATCGCTGTCGCCGTATGGCCAGTCGCTTAAAACTCGGTACATTGATGACGAAAGCGCGCCCCTCAGATGAGGGTGCGCTTGTCCTGCGGGGTGAGTATTCATTTTGGTGGTCAAGCCACAGTAGATTGCTCCGGGCCGGTGTGGCCATCTTATTCTCCCCCAGGACAAGCTGTTCGGTCATTTCACAGAACACGTGACAGTCAGAATGCTGGTCTGTCGCTGGAAGTCATTTTCGCCTGTGCCCCCGACAAATGGGTCCAGAGACGGCGACAAACACTTTCTATCACTGGTGGCAGTCGCCGTTAGCGTTCTGTCGTCGTCACGATGCAACTTAACGCGAAGTTAGGCGACGAGTACAGCACATGACCAGGCGTACTCGGTCGTCACGGTATTGACAGCGTGAATGACAGCCGCAGGCTCCTGTTATGCTTTTCCTCTACAAACAGCATAGTCGTCGGCGGAGCCCTCTTTCTACATAAACCTAATCAACAAACTAAGTGGTCGTCCCCTGCTGGAAGCATAAACAAACAGCTAAACCAAGTCCTCATCAACCGCAAATTACTCAGCTCGTTACTCGAGACCCGCGTCGGGTATCGCGTCTGCATTGGAAATGATCAACGTATGGTCGTAGCGTTGCTTTATTTAAAATTTGTCATGTCGCATCTACCCTGTCTTGTAGAAAGAAATCAGCTGCCAGACGTTGAGAGGCTAAAATATGACGAAGCGACGCTATCGGCCCACCAGAAAGAGGTAGAGAGTTATTTCAATGCGACCTTTAGTGCGCAGTTAGGAAGTTGTAACGCGAATGAAATTATTAAGAGCTTCAAGGAGGCAGTCATTTCTTTGGCGAACAGTGAAAGAGTTAGCAGGAGGACAGCCAAACTGCCTTGAGATGTGGTGAAGACACCATCTTTTAGAATGCAAAGGAATCACGTTAAAAACATGTTACTTGCAACACCCTACTGCATCTTCGAAGACGGTTCATCGTCATCTCGTTCTTGCGCATGAGTTAGAGCTCCAGTCGATGCAGGGAAGTCTAACCGGAAGAGGAAACCAGGAAGATCAACAAGGCAGCCAAATGGGATGAGTCGTGAACAGTGTTCAAAATGGTGTGACAGTTGTTCGGCAGACACGAAACATGATATCTCCTTATCCAAGACATTAAGGGTATACCATTGGCAGGTTACAGTGAACGCCAGAAAAGATGGGCTGAGCATTTCCAGCAGCTTTTCAACGGTTGCCCTCAAGATTCGTCATTTCCAACCGTTAATCTTGTGCAAAACTAGAGGTCAGTACAGATCCACCCACAAAACTAGAAATTCGAAAGGCTTTACTACACCTCAGAGCGAAAAAGGCCTATGGGGTGGATAGAATTTCACCCGATTTATACTTGGTGTAGCAGGAATCGTAGAAAAACTTTATGCCCTTTTTTATCAAATGCGGACCCACATACGATTTCAAGCAGAATCGAATGTGAAGCAACTGTTCCTATATTTAAAGGAAGTCGGTATCACAATACTCTTGACTCCGGGAAACTTTTCTCATAACTTATCGTCTAAAGACAGAGAAGGACAATTCATCGGAAAGTTGTCTCAAATCGAGCAAGCTTCCGCATGAAGTACCTCTGCTGCGACAAAATGTTCACACTGCGTTGGATTATTAAAACTCCAGTTGCTTTAGTTTGACAGTTTGCTCGATTTTAGGGCTGTAACTGATTCAGTACATCGTCAGACGATGTGCATAATGTTGAAATGCGAAGGAATGCCTGAGCATACCGTTCTGTTTTATGAAAAGATGCATTCAGAAGCAGTGTCTTCTATCACAGTGGAAGCTTCCCTGTTAACTGTGAAGTTCTTCTTTGCTACTCAACATCATCCTCGACTTTCTTCTCTGAAGCAGTGCTGACCCCCGCAAAGATGACGGTCTCATTCTATAGGGAAGGATCGGTTCAAGACATCCGCTAGATATCTTGCTGATCTGGACTATGCATATAGTATTGTTCTGGTAAGCGGAATCTGTCACCTGATGCGCTTCCGTGAAAGCCGGCTTCTTCCTTAACTCCCGGGCGTCGAAAGTTACGCGTAAGCCATCCAGCACAGCTGATCTGCAAGTGGAACAGGGTGGTGAGGTTATTCAGGAAGTGGATTGGCTTAAGTGTATCGGCCCATTATCTCCAGCGATGGCGCCACCCAGCCACAGTTGAATTGGAGGATCAGCTTAATCTCAAGTGTTTTCGGAAACCTGTGCAATTTTTGGTTCAGCGTTGCCGCACGGCATAGGGACAATGACTCTGACAAAGGTGCCAAAACGGACATTGAACTGCGGGCAGTAGCGTTGGCTTCGACGCATAATGTGATTTAAATGACAGAACCAAATAAAGAATGGTTCGATTTTCTTCCAGTTTTGTCTGACCTCAGCTGAGAGTAAGAAAGATTAAAATAAGAAAGTTGAGTCTGTTAGACAAGCTGATTGAGCATACATCGTTTACTTCAGCCCGTCAGCTTCTCGTATACGAGCCGAAACACGGCAGATATTGACTTGGTGGCCAGCTTGCAACATGGAAAAACAAAGTAGATGCAGATCTGCTTTCGAGAAGGTATAATTTCTTCTGCGATGCGGTAATCCGTGCCTTATTGCAAAAGTGCTAAAATCTGCGGATATAAAATTACTTACAAAGTTGATGTAAAATCTCTTGTTTCCTTTGGCTCGCTATGTATAATTGTATTTTGTCCATCTGCTGGCATTGCTCAAAAGTGGATACTTGCTGTTCACTACAGTTATAAATAGATTTAAATCTATCCCAAGC